GTGTTGTGTTGTGTTGTGTTGTGTTGTGTTGTGTTGTGTTGTGTAGTGTTGTGTTGTGTTGTGTTGTGTTGTAAGTGTTTAAATTTACCTTAATCTTCATTTTTGCCTTTACGTTTACACATATTTGTTTTTGTTTTTATTTTTATCTTTGCCTTTATTCTTTTCTTTATCTATGTACATACTCGCCTTTACTTTCAGCCTTGTATTGGTCTTTTTCTAAGGGCCGAATTCCCAGTGCGCACTGAAATTCTATAGTTAGCTGCCGATTCTGAGTGAACTACGCACTGTGAATTGGCCCTAAGTGTTATTCTTTAACCTTTTATTAGCAGGTTTTTGTTAAATTAATACCATGTGCATACACTCAAGAAGCACTTGATTCAGCCCCAATCATTTCCGTGTGCAATTTCCGTTGAATTTGCCAATTTACTCCCAACCAACCGCTATTTTTGTCGATTCCAGCACCAGGTTATTATTAGCTTCATTTAGCGCACTCACCGACTTTAACACACTAGCATTTTCTGTTTGAAGAGATGCTATTAGATTAAACAGAGAATTTATTGTTTGCTGGCTCTCGGCATTAATAAGAGAATTATCACTATGCTTCGTAGAATCTCCAGACTTCGGAGAATTAGAAGAGGAAGAACTAGTGATGACGGTTGACGTTTTCTCCTTTGTAATAGGTGGAGGAGGTGAACGGAGGGAAGTCCGACGCAGAATAGTGCAAGCTTCACAAAAAAAACACTGACCAGCACTTTGCAAAAATTCGACATCAGCCGGACGAATACCAACACAAGTGGCGTGGAAGAGATCATTGCACTTTGCACACTGCACTTTCTGCTCTTTAGGAAGATTTCTATCAACCTTTTGATCGCACACACAAGGCATTATTGTTTTTTGCATATGCGTGAAAAACTTTGTAATTATGTATTGATTTTATTTAAATTATCGATCAGTCACAAAAACAAGAGTCACTATCCCAAAATTATAAGTAGGTAATAATCCACTACTTCAAAAGGCACTTGAGAAAAAAGTCACATTCTCACTAATATTTAATAAATTATTAATTTATAGAGAGAAGTAGGAATGCAGATAAAACACGTCCGAACAACTCGGCTGTTGTTATGTTCTTAATGAATTAGAGAAGATGAATCCCAAAATCAAGCGGGGTAGATTCCCGTCGTGATTTCGTACTGTCACATTTTCGAAAATTTCGTGACAACGACTTTCTGCATTTTGTCATATATATTGAAAGCATCTTCCTCAAATTTCTGTCCTTGGAAAACTCTAGCGTTTCTGATTGTAATTGCTTTCTCAAAGGCGAAACGATGGAGTGCACTGACTACATTATTTTTCAAGACATTTAAAATTCCAAATTTGAAATAGCAGCCGGGAACTGGGAAGTTTGTGTTGCTGGTTTTTCGTTTTTCGATGCTGCTGTCTCTTCAAGAGCTTCGAAGATTTCTGACTGAAAGGAAAGGGAAAATGTAATTGTATGTACGCTTGGGCTCCGTGGAATTCACCACTAATCATTGGAGGTCCATCATAGCCTTGGCCATAAAGAGACCTCTTGATTGGTGTCGTTTAATAATTTCAATGAAATTTGTGTCAATGTGCGCGAACCTCTATTTTGAAAAATAACTCGGGATTCGTGATCAGCGACCCCAAAAACCCCCAAGTAAAAATTTTGAAGTGAGTCCAATAATTTTTTTTTTTTATTTGCCGCCATATTGGATGTGCCATTGAATTTTGAAAACCGCCACTCGGCATTAACAAGTCTTTTTATTAAAATTGTTTAAACCTAAACCAGATTTAGCGAGAAGAGGCTTACGTGTGTATGTCAAAAGTGGATTTTGTCCATATATTTTTCAAATAGCAATAACGTCCATGATTTTTACTTCGCTTTTGAAAAGGTAATATTTTCTATGGATGCTGAGAAATAATGTCCATGGATGTTATTTTCGCCGACCTTATCGCTGGTCGTCGCACTCGCATCCCCCCTCCCGTCT